ATTCCATTGTTTACTTTTTATTAAGTTCTCTTTTTAACCTATTCCTTTTTCTCTCTCAAAATTTTTCTTAAACCCAAATCACTTCTATTCAATTTATTTGTTATTATTAATACCCACAGTAATTCTCAATACATCCAAAGATACATCTTAAATAACATACTGTACATCTACTTGGCTCATATTTTTCTTCTTCTTTCTCTTCTTTTTCTTGTCCTTCTTCTTGCTCTTTTAAAATCTCTTCACTCTCTCTTTCACTACTCATTGGAATCCTTTCTTCTTCTTCTTCATCTTTTAAATATCCAATAAATTCTTCAACACTCAATTCTTTTTCTGCTCCTTTCATCTCTATACTTTGAACTGGTCTTCCATTAATCTTTTTCCCTACTATTTTATCCATTGCCTGACAAATAATGTCTTTTGATACTTTTTCTTCATTTTTCTTGTTAACCAATTTAAAAACAAGTCTTCCAAATATCTTTTTGTATTCTTCATCTATTATCTCTTTATTTTTTATTTCTTCTCCCATATTCTTGTAATATTCTTCTATTAATTTACCACTTCGAATAAAGTCTTCTCGTTCAAGTTCTCCTTGATTCTCAATATCCGCAATTTCAATGAAATAAATACTGTCTGCTTCATTAATTCCTCCTGCTTCAAGACATTCAACACACTCTTTATAGCCTAATTTATTTCTACCTTCTTCTTTGATTGAATCAAAGTGTTGAATACTTTTCTCTATTCCTTTTATTTCTTCTTGATTTCCTGTAGGTGTACAACACTTTATTAATGCCTCTTCTTCTTCATTTGCAAGTTCTTTAAATTTAAGTAAATCAATCCTTTCTTCGTTCTCTGCTTTTTGTCCTATTCTTTGTAGTATTTCTTTGAGACTTTTAGCATTTTCTGCTGCTCTTTTACATCTCTCAACAACTATATGTCCATCAATAGGTCCATCACTTCCTCCACTAATTGCTTTGAACATAAAAACATTTCTAATTTCTGTACGTTGTTTATCCGTTGTTACTGAACTTACTTCTTTATTAAATCTCCTGATTAAGTTAAGTGTCTCTACAAATGTTTGTTGATTAAATCTATCAGATGAAGAAGACAACCCAACTAATCCAGGAACTTCATCACAATATTTGTCTTCATCTTTTATAACTGAAATAACTCCGTTGAAACTAATAAAATCATTCCCTTCAGACACGTTTTTGAATATTTGTTTAGGATCCATTTCTGATTATAACAAAAGCCAATTTAATGAGATAATTGTCCTATCAAGGGTTTTTCTCTTTTACTTCTTCTCTTTTTTGTTATTCCATTATTTGTGTTTTTAAAATATGCATTTATCTTAAAAAAAAAATGCAAATTTTAATTTAAATTATAATTAAAACTAGTAAATAAAAAATTGTAGTAAAAGTAAAAACAAAATTACATTGTACTGAATTTTATATAAATTTAGACATTTTTATTTTTATTCAATACTACCCAATGATATTAAAAATAAAGTATTAGTGATGAAGTTTCATAATGAATCAAAGAACAAAAGACAAAAGTTATTTGAAGTGAGTGTTTTAAGTTTTCAAATCCAAAAAAGAAAAAGAAAATATTAAAAAATTAATAATAAAATTACTAACAAAAAGATAAACTTTTCATAATGAAATCTCACCTTAATTTTTGTTTCTTTCCTAATAATAAAACTTGTATTTAATAAAAATCAACAAATGTCACATAAGAACATTGTTGTTCTTTTCATAATTACTTTTTATTTTAGAATAGTCTCTGGTGACTGGTGTGAATTTTCTCCTAATAAAGCTTCTTTTCAATTCGGAGAACCATGTAATTATCCAAGTCAGTTAGAGTGGAGAGGTTGGAAACATGTAACTTATGTAGAGACAAATAAAACTGATTGTTTCTTATTTGTTAATGATTGTTGTGGTGCTGATAGATCTGATACAACAAAAAATTATTTATTTTTTAATGACACAGCTGAAACACCAAATAAGTATTTGTATTTTAAACATGAGCCTTCAACAGCAAATGGAAGAAAGACGTTAAACTTAGATTTTTGGAGAGAATCAACGTATTTAGATACTAACTATGTCTTTGACCTTGATGGAATTCCTGAATATTCTACTTTGTATCAAGGAGGAAGAGTTGCATCAGACTCATCAACTACAACACTTATGTTACACAAAGTTATTGTTTATTTAACAGTCAATGATACTTATCATGAAAATATTATTTTAGATTATAAAGAAAGTATTCCACCATTTCTTCTTATTGAAGGAGATGTTTCTGTTACAATTAAAACAAATTATGATACTCCAACATGTACGTATCATTATTCAACAAAAGGAACAAAATCCACTATAAAAACACCAATTTCTGGAAAGGTTTCTGGATCATATAAATCATTTAGTATTTGTGATATTGATGGGTATTCTCGAGTTACTCTTTGTCCTTCACAAATAACTCCTGAAAATGATTGTACATGTACTTTTAAAAATTTTGAATATCAGAATGGATATTATGATTGTTATTATATTAGTGAACATAGAATTTTTAATATTAGTTCAGACCAAGAACAATTACCTGTAGAACAAACATGGTATTCTTTTACTAATATTGGTGATACGACTTTGTCTATTCCAAAACGGAATAGTCTTTCATTTGTTGGTGTTGTAGAACCACCAGAATATCCTATGCGTTTTTATGGTAAAGTATATTTTAATAATACTCTTAAAATTACTAAAAGTGATGTTTATTTTAGTATTGGTACGTTCTATTTAAATAAAATAAAAATACAGGAGTCTGTTTCAAATGACGCTGTTCTATTCAGAGGAAAGTTAATGATTGATACTGATGATGAAATAACAAGACTCGAGAATATTGGTATTAGACAAGTACCTTGTGGTGATTCAACAAGAAGATATATCAAAACAACAAGCTCTATAGAGTGTAAGTGTACACAGACATCATCAACCACTTTTACTCAATTTGATTGTGATGATTCAACCACTAGAAGATATGATAAGTTTACATTAGTTCTATCTCAAGACTATAATGGAGGAAATGTAAAAAGATATTGGCAAAAAATTACCTCAGATACAGAACTTAAATCCGTAACAATTACTGGTTCAGGAATTAATGTTGAAGATGTGTGTGATTTTAGTAAAATTTCAAATATCAATATCAACACTGATTTAAGATGTTCGTCTTTGAAAATCAATTTAATGTCATCTATTTCTGTTAATGAAAACTCGCAATTCTCATTTGATTCAATCACTACAGTTGGTGATACAAACTATTCAAATTTAGATAAAAAGGCAATAATTCAAGTTAACTCAGGTAATTTAGTTATTTCAAGTGCTATTAAAATAGATTTTACTTCTATCACTGCTGAATGCTTTGAATTAGCTTCTTCAGTCTCTCCATTTTCTGATGAATTATCATTAGTAGAGTCAAGTGACCATAAAGTTTATGCATTGGATCGTTTGTTAAGGGTATGTAAGAAGGATGTTAAAAATAATAAGGTTCATTGCACTATTTCAGAATCTAATTATAAATTTGCTTATCAACAATGTCCATGCCAAGGATCAACTTGTTATATCCAAACTAGTCTTGATAAAGTCACAATCCCTGATTCAACTAACATTGAAAATGCTATTCTTTTATTGTCTCAAAATGTAATGTTTTTGAATGTCCAAAGTATTGATAAAATTCAAATAACGGGTGATTTTGATATTACTCTTGAAGGAACTGGAAGCATATATATTGGGGCAATTGATGGATTGTCTCACAAACCAACACTAATCACTAAAGGAAATACAACCATTGAACAAACTCTTAGTGCAATAAAGTATAATCCACACTCAAAACTAACGTTCTTATCACAAAATACTTTAATTGAAGATGTTATTGAAACAGACACATCAATGATTACCATTGACCGAGCTGTGACAAAGTTAAAATTGAATAGTTTAACTGGAGCTAAACATAAAGAAACACCTCTTTTTGATACCGTTACAGCATCATCACCGTTAAATATTGATGGTATGCCAACAGTCTCTAATATAATGAGGTCAGTAGTAAAGAACACCAAGAGAAAGATTGAAATCACCCAACCAGAACAAATTAAATTTAGTTGTGATAGACAAGCTATTGTTATCATGGAAGAAGGACAAACCTCAGTCACAAAAGAAAACTGTATGACAATGAACCTTTACCAAGACAACGTATTCAAACAAATGAAGGGAATTACGTTGATGCCCAATAAGATGTAGACTTTACTTGTCCATGTTCATCTAATCAAAAGTCATGTTTCAATCATTCTAGCAAAAGGAAGTACACAAATGACAATAAATGACATTGAAGAATTATATATTTCTAATAGTGCTAAGTTAACAGCAAGCTCTCAGAAGTTTAAACTTATTACAACAAGTGGGGAATCAACAAACCATTTTATAATTGATGGAAAAAATAACTACATTTATTTAGATGGAATTGTAGGACAAACAATTGAATTTAATGAAAAAAATATCATTTCTGTTGCACATGGTGGATTGTCACTAACTACCATGAAAACAGGTGCATCAAGTAATATAATTATAAATGAGAAATCTAATTGTACTGATATGTACATTACCACTGAAAGTGTAAAATGTTTAAAATGTGGAGAAGGAAAACCAGTTGAGGGAGATTGTCCAGAACGACCAATTGTTAGTCATTGTGTTAATTACTCAACATCTGGGAATTGTGTTGAGTGTGAAGAAGGATATTACTTACAAGATAAAGCATTACAACCACAAATTTGTTTACGATGTAATAAGAATTGTAAAAAATGCAATTCACATAATAAATGTATGCTATGTGAAGATGGATATAAAGTTGGATCATCAAATATGTGTGAGTCAGTTTCATCAGAGATATGTCCAAATTATATTATGGGAATGTGTAGAAAGTGTCAAGATGGAAAATATAGTTCAGATGAACAAAGTTGTAATAAGGATTGTTCAGAACTCCATTCAGGGTGTGGAATATGTAACACAAATAAGAGAGAGGGGTGTTCAATTTGTGATATTAGTGATGGTTATGTGTTATCTTCAGATCAATGTGTCAAACAGCCAAGTGCCTCTCTTGTATCACCAAATGGTGTTGTTCAATGTAATGATGGATGGTTCAATGAAGATGGAACATGCAAAGAATGCAATCAAAATTTTGGACCAAAATGTACAAAATGTACAGCAACAAAATGTCTTAGTTGTAGTGATTCATACATTATCAATTCAATTGGGATTTGTGTTGATAAAACAGATTGTTTATTAGAAAAAGATTCAACTTGTTATAAATGTGTTTCTGGGAAATATTTTGATGGTTCTAGCTGTGTTGATTGTCCATTAAAATGTACAGAATGTTATAATTCAATAAGTTGTATTACATGTGAGAATGATAGTTATCTTGTAAATGGATTGTGTACTTCAACAAAACCAGAAAACCAATGCACTGAGTATCTTGAGGGAAGATGTATTAAATGTAATGTGAGATATTATCTGTCTAATGGAGAATGTTTACCATGTGATTCTAACTGTTATGAATGTTTTGGTGATAAGTCTTATTGTATTTCATGTAATGATAAACACACACTACAAAGAGATGGCACAAAATCAATATGTCAAAGTGATGATATTCTTAATACTAAATGTACTCAAATGATGAAAGCAGGGACTGGATGTGCTATTTGTAAAGATGGATTTTACAGAAAAGACGTTGACTGTCAAGAATGTATAAAGAATTGTACGAAATGTTTGGATGGAAGTAGTTGTATTTCATGTGAAGATAATTTCTTTTTGTATAATGGAAGACAATGTATTTCATATGACATGTTAACTTCATGTAAAACTAAAACTCCAAATGGATGTACTTTATGTGAAGATGGGTATATTGTCAAAACACCTTATTGTCAATCTTGTCTAGAAGTAACAGAACATTGTACATCTTGTTCACTAATTTCTTGTTATTCCTGTGAAGAGAACTATATATTAATAGAAAATAAATGTGTACATTATAGAGCTATTGAACACTGCTCTAAATCCACTGACTCAAAATGTAGCAAATGTGATTTTTGGTATAGTGTTTCAACAAGTGGAACATATTGTCAAAAGCAACCAGTAGTATGGTTCATAGTACTAATATGTATTTTAGGAAGTATTATAGTTATTTTAATTATAGCAGGTATTGTTAGTTTGTCGTGGTACTTTATTAAGAAAACAAATCAAAATAAAAGACCGGCTAATGTTCATTATTTCTTTATGAAAGACACAGACATAATTTTTGAGCCATTAACAGGAAGGAGCTATGTCGTTACTGATAAAAAAGAACTTCATTTTGATAAAAATAAAGATGAACTTATGATTCCAGTTGGAGAAGAAAGTACTGATACTATAAATGTTGGTAATGGTGGTAAATCAAAGTTAAAAATTCAATTTACTGTGAAAGAAGATGATATGGCGAAGTTTCAAGTTAGAGTTGAGCCAGAGATGGCTATATTAACAAAAGGAGAAGGGTGTGAATTTAAAATATCAATTAAACCAGTTTGTACATGTAAGATTTCTGAGACTATTCAATTATTTTCTTTAGACTTCAAACAAGGAGTTATTGTTAATGAAGATGTGTTACTTGTTACAGAAACACAAATGTCAACACGACTTGATTATGATGAATTAATTATGGAAAAACAAATTGGGGAAGGATCATTTGGAACTGTTTATAAAGGAATGTTTAGAGGAAATTCAGTTGCCATTAAAGTAATGAAGATTCCGGATGACGATGAACAAATGGAAGAATTTGAGAAAGAAGTACATATGTTAGATAAGTTTAGGTCAGAATATATTGTACATTTTTATGGGGCTGTATTTATTCCAACAAAGATATGTATGGTAACTGAATTTGCAAAATTTGGATCATTAATGAGCATGATAAATAAGAAAAAGAAATTAGACAAATACCTTAGAATTAAGTTTGTACTTGACTGTGCTAAAGGAATTCAATACCTTCATACTAATGGTATAATGCATAGAGACATTAAGACTGATAACGTATTAGTTTTTTCAGTTGATAAAGGTATTCCAGTTAATGCTAAGTTAACAGACTTTGGTTCATCAAGAAATGTTAATATGATGAGGAGTAATATGACATTTACAAAGGGTATTGGAACACCAATGTACATGGCTCCAGAAGTTCTTGACCAATCTAAATATTCTGAAAAAGCTGATGTGTTTTCATTTGCTATTGTAATGTATGAAACCTTTATTTGGGGTGCACCATATCCTAAAGAAACTTTCCCATTTCCATGGAATATTGCAGAATTTATTTCTCAAGGAAAAAGAATGCCTCAGACAAAAGATATGCCTGACTGGTATTTCCGAATTGTAAGTATGGGATGGGACCAACAACCATTGAACAGACCAAAAATTGACAAAGTCGTTGAAATGATTGAACAAAATTACAATGAAAAACTTCAATAATTTTTTATTTCTTTACAATACTTTTTTAATACATTTAGTTTTTGACTTTTATTCTTGTCGTGTTTCACATTCAACACTTGAAACATCTGAGACATTGTCAGGAAATTCAAACTCTTCTGAAACAGTAAAGATTTGTTTTAATAATCCAAGACAAGAAAATTGTTTCTTTGTTAAAACATTACGTCTTTCTTCAATAATACTATTTGATGAAAAGAACTTTTTATTTTTTGTACTTAACCCATGAGACCAATATAATGTTCCTGAGAATGAAATAATACTAATTAAAAGAATAACAATTAATTGAACTAAAACATAATAATTTTCTATTTATTTTAGTACTTTGCTTTTCATAAAAATTTAATAAAAATAACAAACCTCCTTCAATAATAAATATAGCAAAAGGGTCAATCAAAGAACCAGAATAAGAATAAAAAGCTGATAATATAATTGATGCAGTGACTATAGCAATTAGATAAGAAATATAATGATTTTTAGAAATAAGATACACAGACATTCCAATTGTCAATTTTGGAGAAAATACATTTAAAAAGATATAAAAAAATCCTTCTTGTTCTGCCCATTGACAAAAATTGGGATGGAGTTTTGAAGCAATAATATGTATTTTTTTAACTAAATTATTTAACATAAAACATATGCCTATTCCAATTACTGTTCCAATTACATTAATTATGGCACCTATACCTGCTCCAAGACAATACCCACTTAATACTTGGTGGGGAGATAAAGGAAAACATAAAATAATTGCAATAATATTAAAAAATAAAAATGATGGAAGTGAAATAGAGTAACGACTTTGTGTTTTCAGTTTGTCTAATACATGAACAATTTCATTTACTCTATTTTTGTTTGAAAATAAAATAATACCAATAATTGAACAGATGAAACTCACCAATAAAAACCTTATAATTTGTAGTGTGAGTGAAGACACTTTTTTGTTTGAAAGAAAAGCAAACATCATAGAACTAATGAATAAGATGATAGTAGTTTATGGAAGTAGATAGAACTAACAAGAACTAATAAAAATAAATAAGAATGTAAGAAACTTTAAAATTATAATAATTAATTTGGTTTAAAAAAAAAGAAAAAACAGTTAGGGTAAAACTAATAATTTACTTGGATAGTCAATATGTCTAAAGTTATCGTTATTGATTGCCATGGACATGTTCTTGGTCGTGTAGCTTCAGTTGTTGCAAAGAATCTTCTTCTTGGAAAAAAATTTGTTCTTGTTAGATGTGAAGATCTCCAAGTATGTGGAACACTCAAAATGAGATTAGTTCAATGGGAACTTTATCAAAGAAAAAGAGTTAATACTAACCCAACTCGTGGTGCTTTCCATCATCGTTCACCAGCAGATATGGTTCGTAAAGCTATTAGAGGAATGCTTCCAAAGAATAATTATAGAGGAAAGCTTGCACTTAAGAATTTGAAATGTTTTGAAGGATGTCCAGCACCATATGACAAAATGAAGAAATCATCAATTCCAGCTGCAGCAGCAATTTATTCATTCAACCCAACAAGAAAGAGAACTCTTCTTGGAGAACTTGGAACTGCAGTAGGATGGAAATATGCTGATGTTGTTGCTAAAAATGAAACCGAAAGAAAAGAAAAAGCTGCTAAATGGTATGCTGCTAAACAAATGAAACAAAAGGCTATTGCAGAAGCTAAAGAAAAGATTCTTGCAGATGAAAAGTATAAGGCTAAAGTAGCTATCCTTAAGAAATTTGGTTATGCTTAAGTCTAAATTAAAAATTAATTCTCTTTTGTCTTTTTTATTCTTTTTTCATTACTTTTCATATTTTTATTATATTTTAACCATTGTGATGTTGTGTAGTAAGATAAACTTTAATTAACTTTGACTTTCTTCTCTTAATGAGATATACCTCATAAATGCAGTATAGTCTAGTTTTGTTTGTTGAGAATTTATCACTTGTTTGATAATATGTCCATCTTGTAAATAGATGATTCTGTCAGCATAACATTCAATATCAGGATTATGAGTAACCATAATGATTGTTGTTCCTATTTTTTGATTTAATTCAAGAATTAAATTCATTACTTCTATTGTATTTTTGGTATCTAAATCTCCTGTTGGTTCATCCATTAATAATAATTCTGGTTCATTTGATAATGCACGTGCAATAGTAACTCGTTGTTGTTCTCCTCCTGACAATTCAGAAGGAAGATGGTTCATTCGGTCTTGAAGACCAACTAATTCAAGAAGTTTAATTGTTCGTTCATGTCGTTGTTTTTTATTCAGTCTTCCAAGTATTTTCATAGGGAGTTCAACATTTTCATAAGCAGACATTGTAGAAAGGAGGTTATATGTTTGAAATACAAATCCTATTTTTTCTAGACGAAGGTTTGCCATAAAAGATTCTTTTGTTTTTTCATTGATTTCTGTTCCAAACATTGTAAGTTTCCCATGAGAAGGTTTATCAATTAACCCAATCATATTGAGGCATGTAGTTTTTCCTCCTCCACTCGGACCACGTAACATAACAAATTCTCCTTTTCTAATACCTAAAATCTCAGACTTACTACCAAATGAAATATCTCTAACAGCAAATACTGATTCATTTCTTCCTTCTATTTTATACTCTTTTTCAAGATGTTCTGCTGATACTATTACTTCTCCAAATAATTTGTTTTGATTAGAATTTATTATATTAGGATTAGATTCAGTCAAATTTTCAAGTTGAAAAGTAGGACTTGTTTCTTTGATTAATTTATAAGCAAACAAAGGAATGTCAGATTTTTCTACGTTGCTATCATCTTTAAACGACTTTTGCATAGAAAATAAGAATGAAATAAATAATAATTTTTATTTGAAATTTAAATAAACAAATTGAAAACAGAAAACATTAATAATTATTTTATTTGTTCGACAATTAATACAGAAGATGGATATAACTTAACTTCTGTTAACAACGTATTTTCATCCATTAAATCAATTCTTCTTCTTGGTAAGTTTCCCCAAATAATTAAGTTTTTTTCATTAAACTCATTACGAATTATTTCTAAAACATCCCCAACAGTATAGTTTTCATAAATTTCTATGATTTTTGTTTGTTTATTTAGGGTAATTTTAATCTTTCCTTGTTTCCCTTCTTTAGGTTTATTATATACAGAAACTTTGTGAATACATGGTTTAACTTCTTGAGTTGGTTGCTGTATTTTAAGTTGAGGATTATTTTGGTTAAATGAATCAACAATATCTTGTGATTTTTTTAAACTTGTTTTCGTTGATTCTGAAAGAAGAGAGTCATCAATTTCAATAATGTTTGTTGTTTTAGATGTTGTGGTATCATTCTTTAATTGAGAAGGTTTCTTATTTGCACCAAAACAAATTAAATCACTATTATCTTCTGAAGAAGAATCAGAAGAAATTTCACAAATATTATCAGTTTTTCGTTTTATTTCATCTTTGTTTGGATATTCATATACCCTTATTATATCTTTAAGTTTTAGACTTAATTCTTTTTCATCTCTGGCTGTTATTAGTTCAAGTAATTCTCCAGTAATTGGGTTATGTAATGCAATGCTAGGCATTTTTATTTTGTATCGCGTTACATAGTCATCACATGTTTTTATTGAAGAAAGGCCAGTTGTTGATGTTGAATAGTTATTAGCAATTGCAGTTAGTGGTACCCATAATATGTAATTTCTAGCCATTTGCCATCTAACAGATGAACTTTTCCAAACATCTCTAATGAATGTTAAGCATTCTAAATCATTTTCTTTAAAAACGTATGCTAATATCCATTTATTTTCTTTTTCAGCTCGTTCACAAGCTGCTCCAAAATCACCAAGGACTGATGATTCGCTTAATGGTACAAATTGTTGGTAATTAGTAATTTTCCCTTCGGCTTCATCTTTAAAGTTTCTAAACATAAAAGTATTTGATTCAGTTGATGTAGGTGTCATCAGTTGTGTTATCTTTATTTTTTCAGGAGCAAGGTAATTTTCATCTCCTTTAAGAGCTATTTCTTCATTTTCTAAATAAGCATTGACACTAGTTTCCAAATTTCCATTACAATTGTCTAAATATAATTTTGCGTATTCTTCAGGAGCGCCAGTGAGTTCTATAAATTGTTGAACTTTTGTTGGGAGATTCATTGATTTGTTAGTTTTTGAAGTATTTTGAGTTTTTCATTCAAAAAAAAACAAAGAGAAAAATTAAAGAAAAAAGAGATTAATGAAGGTTTTGTTGGTATTTGTATGTTCTATTATAAGTGTTGACAGGTTGTTTTGTTGTTTGTTGTGTTATAACAGTTTTTTGTTTACTTATATCAGTTGTTATACTATTTTGTTTTAGTTCAACACCTTTAATTTTTTGACTTTCTTGTTTAAGAGGAGTTGGTGATGGAGGTTGAGGTAAGGATTTAGGTTGGTGTGTTTGGTTTGGTTGAGGAAGTGGTTTAGTTTTTGGAGGCAGTCGTTTTCGATTAGTTTTCTTTTGTAATATTCCAAGAACATCAGCATCAGTAGACCTCATAATTTTTGTTGTTCTTTTTAATACTCGAGACTTTCTATACACTAAATTATCAACATCATTTGGAAATATGTCATTAAAATGGGTAATAATTTCTGAAAGCACATTGATTCCTTTTGTTAAAAGAATAGTGTCTGTGTCATCAAAAGTAAGAAGGGAAGGTGTTAAACAAACAGCAATATTCTTTGAATTCATTAAATTAATATCTTCATAAGCGGATATTTTATAAGACAATTTCATAATATACTTAAATAAAGTAAGATGTTCAACTGGTAATGAAGTTATTACTGACTTAATTCCATGAATGCCATTTGAATTATAATTATTAATAAGACTATTTGTTTGTTGTTTATCAATAACATGTGTTGGTAAATCTCTTAAAAACCTTTTAAAAACTGCTGCAACTAAATCTGGTTGAAGGTCTTCAAATGAAGTTATTGCCATTCTAAGATACAATTCATCAATTTGATGTTTATTGCCTGTTGTTATTTCTCTGAATATTCCAGGAACAGTAAATCCTTTATCATACAGATAATTATAAATTGATTCTACTGCAATGGGTAATTGATTTTTTGTTCTTTGTTCAGCTACAAGAATTGACTCAATTGTTTTATTACAATATAGTGCAGATGGTTGATTATTTTGAATTACATATTGTTGTTTTAACTATTAGTTAAATTAATATTATGAATATTAGTTTTTATACAAACAACAAACTTCTTGTGCATTTGAAATTAATATGTTCATTGCTTCATTCTCATTAAAATAAACACTTCCTGCATCAAACATCATTACAAATTGATGAATATAATTGTTATAAGTTAATGGATTATTCCATGCTATCATTTTTTCAAGTTGGTAATATTTTTGAATGACTATTTCTTCATTTTCATCAGTAAGATGATTTTTAACATCATTTATTTGTTTAAATATTGGTTTAAATGTAATTTCTTCAATACACTTAAGGTTTTTGCTCGTAGTAAGAAAAATGTTCATCATTAAAGTTAAAGACTCTCCAATAATATTTGTTTCTTGCTGACCTATTTAATAAGAAATTTATTATTTAATCAATAATAATAATCAAACCCATTCCACTACATTCCCAATGTTCTTTTAAATACCTCACTTCTCCATCAATTAATTCAACAAATTTATTTAAAATTTTATTTGTTGATTGAAAGAATTTTTGTTGTTTTTGCCAATATCCATCAAATTGTTGAATGTTCTTTCTCTTTTCATCAGTCATCAATATACTTTCTTTTATATCACTAGTAGCTTTTTTAAAACCTTTCCAAGCATTTGTTGACATATTTTTATTAATTTTTATATCTAAATTTTGAGTTTGAATTATCGTTAAAAATATATTTTTATATTTGCTAAAAATTTACTCTTTTTATGTTTTAATACATACTTAAAATTAATACAATAAGTGTTTCTTCTCTTTTATGTATTTTTTTTAAAAATGTATTATAACATAATCTCTCTTAAAAATGAAGAGCTCAATATTTTATTAGTTTAAGACAGTAAAATATTTATTATATTTAAGTATAGAATTGAATATGTACTTTTTTTATCAATTTACAGTCTATTTTGATTCATTATCTTATTTATTTTTAAAAAGTCTTTTAATATATGTTATTTTAAGAAATAAGTCTATTATATTAAAAAGTTATTCATTATTTTGGTTATTGTTTTTTTAACCAAATTTAATTGGTTAAATTTATATTTACTCATTACTTGTTGATATTAGAAATAAACTTTACGAAAAAAGAATTACATTATGAATGAATTATTTTATTTTAAAGAGTATGAATGATTTAATAAAATGAATATATTTCATGAATATTTTCCATAAACAAAACAGACTTTTTTCTTTTTGTTAAATAATTTATGAATGATTCTTTAATTAAAGTTATTGCGAATTTTTCTTTCCTTTCGATTTGAAAGAAAAAAAGAATTTTTAAATCAAAAAACTAATAATTTAATTAATGTTACCAATCCCAAGGTATCCAATTCAACCACAACAACCTAATGTTTCAGTGGCACATCCTGGATATGAACAACACACATATTCTCAAAAAGAAATTGAAGAATTAAATAATGAAAATTTAAAATTACAACATGAAATTGAAATGTTACAAGAAGAAATAAAGAAATCAAAAGTTCATCCGATTAATTTTACTCCACCAATTGCAAAATTAGAGGTAAATCCAAAAATTTATCGATTTAGACCATTTATTATAAAATTAACAATAAATACAAGTTTTGGTATTGAATTTACTGGAGAAGAAGTTCTTTCTGCTATTACTAAAGCAAAGATAAGAAAAGAAAATGATATGTTTACAAATATTACTACATGTTGGTGTTCGTCTAATAAAGAAGTAGTTGAAATTGGTGTTTCAAATACTGGAGCTATTGGACCTTATCAAACAGATGAAGGATTTGTTTATGTTCTTGACCAATGTAGAAGCCATTGCACAAGTAGTAGAGATCATCATCATGGTAGATTAATATTGGTTGTTGATCAATTACCAGGAATACCACCAATCCTTTCTAATGGATTTGAGTTATGTGCTAGAATTAAAGGAGAATTACCAGAAGATGTCATTCCATATTCTAAAGACCAAATTATAACACCTGTTCCAAATGTAAGAGAAAAACATCGTGTTGATTTACAATATGATTCAGTCGATTTATTGTTTACAGCAGTATTTGTATTTGCATCATCAATGACACAACAACAAGTAATGGAAACATTGAATGAAATTGTCTCATTTTTGAAGAGTACAGAAGGGTATATTTCAAGTTATTCAACAGACTCAGCAGGAATGTATGTATTATATTGTTATTATTCAACATATCCATTAAGTTGTTCTGCGTCAATACAACTTAAAGCATATCTTTCTAATGAACAAAAAAATTATATGAATCAAGATCTTCATTTGTCTGGTCAAATGAGATTGTTAGCAGTAAGTTTATGAACATTTCTAATTGACTTATAAAAATGAACAAACCAAAATACATTCATCTTTTCATCTCAATTTTATTTATACAAAAGTATATTTTTATTCGTTATTTCAGGTATTTGGATGATTAAAAACAATGATATATCTTGTCTCTTCTTTATGACATTTAAACCTAAACAATCCAAAAACTGAGGATATTTTGAAGAATGTATGTCCAAAACAAATAAGAATTAACACAACCCACAGTTATTTTTAATGTTTTTATATAAGATTTCTCTTTAAATCAAAAAAATCAAAATATTCTAAAAACAAATAAAATTAAGTAATGAAGTGGCATTATCTTATTAGATTAAATTGTACTAATGAAACAAAAGTTTTTTTAGGTATTTTATTTTATTAATGATAAGTCTAAAATGGTTTGTCTATAATATAAAAGTATAATTCTATAAAAATATATTCATAAACTAATAAACAATCAATTTCACTTATAATATCCAACAAACAATGAAATAGTCGTTGGTTTGTGAAAATAAATCTAGTCCATCTTTTCTTTGATATATATTATTGTTATTCAATAAGTATTAACTAATTCAAATGATTGTTTTGATATAACAAAATGAAGAATTGATGAAATGTAGTAATAAATACTATTTAAAACATTAACATCAAAACTACATGAAGAAAAAAACTATCTCAATCAAATCATATTTCAATAATTATTATGGTTTTTGTCTAAAAACATAAATGTTAAATGGTGTATTTAATTTATTAATTAATCACTTCATTGCATTCCATAACCATTCTACAAATTGCTTTCCAGTTGTATGGAATGCAGAATATTTTGTGTGAGGAACTTTGCTCTGAAGAAATGATTTGTCAAGATTGATTCTAACAAGCATGGTATTTTCACCTTGTATTGTCCAATTCTCAAAAGGAATGAGAATATGAATTGGTGTATTTCCACCAACCCCAAATTCTATAAACAAAACTTTCCCATTTTTGATAGCATCCTCAACATATTTTGTGAACAGTGGTGCCATTACCATATGTGGTTTTTCAACAAAAAACTCATCTGACCTTAGGTTTTGTGTCATTTCTTTTCCACATTTAGGACATTTTGGAATACAAGAGTCTGGGACTTCAAATGTCAATGGATTTATATTCTCAAATATTTTATCCATATATGGTTTAAAGAGATAGACATCTTGGCTGCATGGTGTTGAACATTGAATATACTTAAAATCCCCTTGTGGATTGAAAAATTTGTTCATATCATAACCTGATCTTTCAAAAAGACCATCAACATTTGTTGTTTTAACAAAATAATTCTTATTATATTTCTTTAGTAAATCAAGTAATTTTTTATATGTATCAAATTCATGTTCATTTACTTCTTTATATCTCATGTAATCTGCCATTACTGCAAAAAATCCCCATTTTTGATTTTCTGTTTTAAAGTCTTCAAATCCCATGGTTTGATATAATGAATTAATACCATATTCAAATAGTGGATATCCCATTTCACTAAATAATTTAGTATCCATGAAACTTAATCCTGCATCTACTGATAATCCTGCACCTGCTCCAATAATAATATGAGTAGCATTTTTAAAGAATTTAATAACACGATTAAGTTCATTTTGTTGAATTTCAGTAGGTGTAACCATAATAGATGTGTTTATTCTCGGTGGTATTATAATATCTTTTTCATTACATGTTTTGTCAAATTCTGTCACATTCTTTGTATATATTTGTAAATCATTATCTGAAAATACATCAAAAATTACTTTTTTAATACTTGTGAATGGATTTTCATACAACCAATTTATTACTGTTTCAATTGCAATCACTGATGCTACATTTTGTGGAAATCCAAATAATCCTGTTGAAATACAACTAAATGCAATAGACTCTAAATGAAGGTCATCTGCTATATTTAAACAATTAATATAAGATGATCGAAGTAAATTACAATGAGACTCTTTCAATTGAGATTCAACTATTGGTCCAACTGTATGAATCACATATTTGCTTGGTAAGTTATATGCTCTAGTAACTTTTGCATATCCAGTTGGTTCTTCAAATCCTTGTTTGTTCATGATGATAGAACAGTCTCTTCTCAATTGTGGACCAGCAAATGTATGAATTGCATTATCAATGCATAAATGATGTGGAACAAAACAACCAAGTAATTGATTATTAGCTGCATTCACAATAGCATCAACACAAAGTTTTGTAATATCTCCTTTCCATAATGCTAATTTATTTGAAAATAAGAATGAATGTCCTTGTTCTTTCAATGTAATTATGTTTTTAGAATAGACAACATCTTTGTTTTTTTCTTGAAGCATTTGAGAAATAAGATCCATTAATTCATTATTTTGGCATAATTTTTGACATTCATCTGGTTCTATTTGGTTCATTAGACTTCTATAAATCTCCCATGAATTAAACTTCTGTTCATTATTAATCTTCTTCTTTAATAATTTTTCAACAATTTCATTGCATAACACCTCCCAACTTGTGTTTGTTGGGTTGGATTTCTTTATTTCTTCAAGAAGATGAATATCTTCTTTATAATCCTTAATGGTTAGTGCGAGTTGGTACATTCGGTATGTATTTATTGGTTGGTCTGAGTTTAAATATCCTAATAAATACATCAAACTATCTTTATCAGTCAAAACCCCTCCATCTAAAAACTTCTTCCGTTTATTACATCTATTTTATATCCTTCTTATTTCTTCTTCCTCTGTTTTTTCTGCACGTCAGCTGTTTCTTATTTATTTCTCTTGTCTTTCTTTCTTTGTATTTTCTTGTTTGTCTCTTTGACAATGTTGGGTCTTTAGTCACCTCAACAATCAACTGCAAAGACACAAGACAAAACGTAAAACAATTAGTTGTTCATAATTTCCGTCTTATTTTTGAAAAATAAACTTGAAATTGCATTTATTAGAGAAAAACAATGTCTACAACTCTGGGTTATGTCAAAACTATATTAGAACAAATGGTTGCCATTGACAGTCAGTCGTCAAACGAGAATCATGAAGAAATTACACATTACATGACTTCTTTATTAGAAAATGACCTTGGCTTAATTGTTGAAGTTGTTCCTTACTCAAAAAACCCACATAAACATAATATCATTGCCTATAAAAGACTTGGATTTAAAGTTGTCCTCTGTGGACATCTTGACACAGTCAACATTGGATCTGGATGGACAAAAGAGCCACTCAAATGCACAACCGAAGTAGTTGATGATAAGACATATATCTATGGAAGAGGAACATCAGACATGAAAGGAGGGAATGCTGTCATTATTGCAACATTAAAGAGACTGATTGAAAATAACAATAACATTGATGACATTGCCATATTCTTTTCTACAGAAGAAGAGGTTGGAGTTCGTGGATGTCAAGACTTTATGGTTTCACATAGACACATGTTTGAGTCAGTTGAGACATTTGTTGTACTTGAACCAACAAATCTATATGTTGGGTCTGGACAAAACGGACATTATTGGGTAAAGTATACTTGTCATGGAAAGTCAGCTCATGGGTGTATGCCTCAAGATGGACTTAATGCAATAGACGGGATGGCAGATTTAAATTGTGTATTAAAAGAGGCAATTACAGCACCAGATCTCAATGGACATGTTATATTAAATATAGGAACTGTTTGTTAATGTTAAGTCAGTAAGATAACCAAAAATTAATTGTTACAGATTGAAGGTGGAGATAAAGTTAATATAGTTCCTGACCTTTGTATTGAAACTGTAGATTATAGATTCTCTCCAAACGTATTTGATAAGCATTTAGAAGAAATTATTAAGAAAGTAATTGACCAAATGAATGAAATATCATATGCTCAATATGAATATGAATTTATCAGTAAAATATCAGCCATTAAATGTAGATCAACAAATGTATTATTAAACAAACTAAGTGAGTATATGAAATCTATTAATCAGTTTAAAGAAGTTTCATTACCTTATGGATCTGATGCAGCTGTCTTTAAAAAAGAATTTCCTTCTTCAGACTTCATTATTTTTGGTCCTGGGACTGTTGAACAAATGCACAAAACAGATGAGTTTGTTGTTCTTGAACATCTCAATATAGCGATAGAAGCACTTGTAACGGCATTAAAGGGAAGATAATTGAATAAAGTTCATATAGTTTTGATATAATAAAGTAAATGATAAAAAAAAAGAATGAAAAAAAAGAAAAATAGTACTGAGTTTGACATATTTCAATGGCAAACCGATCAGTCTACTCAGTAGCAAAAACTGAAAATACATTTGGAGCAACACGTGTTGATGAAGAAGAGGCATTTGATGCATTTGACGATTTTGATAATATTCAAGAAGAAGAAGTTAAAGAGGAAGTTGTAGAACAACCAAAAGAAGTGAAAGAAGAAGAAGTAAAAAAAGAAGAAACAGTTAACGAAATAGAAGAAAAAGTTGCAGAAGAAGAAAGTCCAAAAGTTGAAGAGAAAACGACAAACAAAGCAGGATGGTGTTTTGAAGATTTTGAAGGGTCAGGATCAATTAAACCAAAGATCTATGCTAGTGCAGCAGGAGGATCAAATGTTAGTGTAAAGAAACAACCAAAGAAAGTACAAAATAGTTATGCATCAACATCATCGAATGTTGATTGGAATAAATATAAAAATGCTAAATCAATTAGTTCAGACCAACTTTTTGGAAGTGATGAACCAACAGCATATGAAAAACAAAAACTAACACAATATTCAAATGCAAGTGCTATTGGATCAGAAGAATTCTTTGGGAAAGAAGAGAAGAAGTCATACTCAAAAATCGAAGCAGATGATGAATGGAGAAATGATGAGTTATCAAGGATGGCAGATTCTATAGCTAATGGAGCAGTGAAATTAGCAACAAAAGCAAAAAGTTTATTTGATGATTTCTAAATCAATTTTTTATTAGTTTAAAATAATGTTTTTAAAAATACAAAAAAATAATAAGAAATAAAGAAATGAAAAAGAAAAGCACTTTTTCCAATTCATTGGAATTTAATTTAAGATCTGAAAGGAACTTAATAATTAGTGAGATGATTCTCAATGTTTTACTAATTTCATTAGCATTTGCTGACACATTTTCTAAGTCAGGATGTTATATTGAAAAAGGAGAATATAAAGTAGAAAAGGTACAAGAAAATAAAGAATATCTTGTTGTTGGAACATTTAATGATACATTATTTATTCATGGGTGGGGATTTTTACATATTAATAGTGTTCAATCCACATCACTTGAAATGGATCTTCAATTAGCAAAATGTGCAGGATTAGTTGAAGGATATTTAACATCACATAGAATTCGGGATCATATGAATAATCAACGAGCATCAAATGTAATTGAAGAATGGGATAAAGTTACTATGGAATATATTAATAGAAATATAGCATATTCAAAACAACAAGCAAAAGATTTATCATTAAGTGATCCATGGGGAAGAGCACTTGGGATAGTTTTAGCACAAACATTTGGAATTAGAGAAGGAGCAATTATGAAAGAGCCAGGATTAGATATGACAGAAACAGACATTTTTATATTAAATTCAGATGGTGATCTTTCAGACCTTCAAAATATAGCAGCACATAATCTATGGCCAGAAATGAAAGGATTTAAACATGGAAATCATACAAGATTTAGTGATGCATGGTATGATGTTCATCATCATTGTACAGGATTAATTAGACTTACACCAAATTATCAAGATTTATTTGTTGCACAAGATACATGGTCATCACCAACAACAATGAATCGTATTTTAAAAGAATATCATATACAATATTTTGATAAAGCTATTGGAAGTAAAAGAATTTTATTTAGTAGTTATCCAGGAATAACACATTCATTAGATGATTTTTGGTTAATGGACAATGGACTTGCTGTTATTGAAACAACAATGCATTGTTGGAATCAAGACCAATTTGAAAAATGTACACCAGATAGTATTTTAACATGGATTCGTGTTCAAATAGCTAATCTTTTATCAAGTAAGAGGGGAAGTGGTGTACAATGGGCTAAAAACTTTATCAGAGAAAATTCAGGAACATATAATAATCAATATATTATAATAGACTATAATAAATTTAAACCAGGTAAAAGACCACAACCTGGTACTCTTTATGCTATTGAACAAATGCCAGGTTATTATGGAGCAGGTGATAGAACTGAAGAACTTATTAAAAATGGATATATTCCATCAGTCAATGCACCATTCTTTAATGATGTTTATAAATATGCAGGAGTAGGAGAAAAATGTGAAGCAGATAATGACTGGTATTTTGATTATTGGAAATCAGACAGAATGAAGTTAATTCAAAGAGATGCACCACACATTAATACATATGAAGACTTTAAAAAGTTTATGAGATATAATGGTTATCCTAATGACCCATTAGTCAATGATCCTGGACAATTTATTCTTTCTAGATATGATTTAAGACCTAAAGAATGCATTCCAAGTCCAACTAATCCAACTATTCTTCATTGTCCATCTAATTTCGGAGGACTTGATTCAAAAACAATAAATTATGAACGTGCAATCTCTTTGAAAATAGATGCTATTTCATCCCCTCAATATGAAAACCAACCCGCTTATGAATTTGGCAAAAAGCCATTTGACACTGCTATTTATAATGGTTTACCAGAAAAATGGACATTCCCATGGATAGTTTTCAATGAAGATGGATTTTAATTTAAACTGATTTTTTATCTTTATTATTTTAATGACTTAAATGTTACTGTCAAATATAAATGAAGTGTACTTTCTTTCGTGTGGATAATTCTTTCTAATTAAATCTTCTTCAATGAATCTTCATTTCCTTCTGAAACTCCCTTTCAAAACAAATCACATCAAATCAGAGTATCAGTATTAGTGGATAATGTCAATGAGCAGCGTGAATAACAGTAACTATGAAATAAACATGCAATGGAAGAGAGGAAGATGAATGACAATAACAATACATTGTTTCATTGAATAATACTCCAATATAGTTATAATTTCTTTTTTAATAAATACTAATTCTTATATTACAACAAGTAATATTTAATCATAATAAATTATTGCATCATTTGCAACATTATCTGATACATTTTTAATTCAAATACATTATCATAACAAGATAATAACAATGAGAGTCAAAATATGAATTGTATTATATTTGTGTGGTGTTTCAGATGTGACATTTTCGATTTCAAGAATAATAAATAATAAATAAATAACAAATAAATAAGAAAGAATGATTGTTTGTTGTATTTTCAAATTAATTGATAATTAATATTAATCAAGTAATGAAATGAGTATTAATGAGAATAATGTAATTTAAATGAAATGAAATAAAAAGAATGGTAAATAATTAATATTTCATTGAATAAAATATTATTTAACTTTCATATTTCTTATATTAATTATTACATTAATTATTCATTTTATTTAAATTATTATTTATTTAAAATATAAACAATCATATCTTATATTAAATTATTGAAAATAAATTTAAATAAAAATTCATTTAATTTATTTAATGTTTTTAAATTACATCACCAAATATACAGTAGAAATATAACCATTATCTTTCTAATGTTGTTCAATCTTTATACATATTTATTAACTTTTTAATTACTTCTTCTTTATGTTGAATAGTGCTGATAAATTATTTTCTAATTCTTCTTAGTCAATAAATTCAATATCTTCTTTTACAAACACAAATATTTTAGTAGTTTTGTTTTTTATTTCTTTCACTTTTTTCCTGTTCTTGTTATTTTTATGAAGAATATTTTATTTAGTCTTAGTTCTTTCAATTTCCAAATCACAATAATTAATTTCTTCTATATATTTCATTCTTTTATTTCTTTGCAATTTCATTATTTTTATTTGTTTGATTATTCTTGTTTAATGTTTTGTTCTTTTTTTCATTAATACTATGATAATCAATATATTTTTCAACTTCTTCTACATTAATTGGTTTCAATGACTTTACATATACCATCATTCTTATAATTGCATTTTCTCATTGTGTATTATCATAACAAGATGAACTTTTTGATTCATCAGATTACATTGGAAATTTGTTATTTTCTAGTTATTCCATTAAAAAATTCCAACAAATTTTGTTGATATTTATCTACTTTGTTTTCTTCTTTTCTTCATGAACTTCTTCATGAATATATTAATAACATTTAATTAACATGATACAAAAAATGTATCTAAATGTCTGATATTGGAAAAACATTCTGTATTATTTTATTAATTGTTTTATTATTTTGTGTAAACCTTGGTTGAAATTCAAGACATTATTAATTATTTAAAATTCTTTTGTTCTTTTATATATAATCAACTATTTATTCATATACATTCTTTTCATTCTTCTGTGTCTTGTAATACATGTATATCAATAACAAATATATCTCATTTATCACATTCTCCATATTATCCTTTTATTTCTTTTGTTTATGATTTTGCGTTATTATTTTCTTTGAAAACATTCTTCTTCATTTTGAATTTACAATTTGTATTTTCCATCACTTGTGGTTCAAAGTTTAAATAAATTAATTTCTGTAATAGTCATTAATTGATTTTAATTGTTAGTTATTTAAAAGTAATTAAACATAGCAATTATTTGTATCAAATTGAATAATGTTATTTATTATTAAAAAACATTTCATTTTCATTTGAAATAAATAACTTCAATTCTTCATTTTTTTTAAATATTCATCATATTATATGTTATTTAAATGAAAAAACAACAAAATATCTTTAAAAATAAAATATTTTATCGAATTTCACGCAAACATTATTTTATTTATTTTATTATAAAATAATTTTCTATTAATATTATTTTTATTTAATTTTACATAAAAATATATTTTTGAAATAAATGAATATATTTATCGATAATTTAACACGGCAGTTTGTTTTTATTTATTGGTTTGAAATACAAACATCATTAAATAAAAATAAATTTGTAATGTTATGATTGAATTAAAAATGAATAAATAATTTTACGTATTTTTGAAATATATTTATTATTATATTTTTTAATTTCCATTAAACAATTATTTATTATTTAGTCACAATGATTATATTTTTATTCATGAATTATCAATTAGAATGAATGATATTAAATAAT